GAAGATATCGTCAGTACATTTTGATCCTTGGATAAGGGCGAAGAGCGGATCACACGTAGGCACATTAAGGAATGCTCATAGAGACAAGCAAACATTCTGTATTGGTTTAGAATGCCAGGTTATTTCAGAATGGGGGAAAAAGGAATGCTTTCCATAAGGGTTGTTTCATTTCATGGACATGGCAATCAATCAATCAACCAAGAAGCAAACATTTATTAAGCACCAGCTATGTAAAAGACACTGAGCTAAGCACCGGAGATACAAAGAAAGGGGTAAGCCAGTCCCCAGCTCCCCGGGAGTTCACAGTTTAATGGGGGAGACAGCATGCAAACCATTATGGACAAACAAGACATTTCCATAAACTGGAGGTGATGAACACAGGGAAGGCACTGGCATTAAGGGGGACCATGAAAGTGGGAATTTTATCTGGTGCTTGAGGGAAGCCAGGAATAAGGATATACAGGTATTTCATACCCCTTCAGACGCATGCTCCGCCTCAGGTATGCAGCAGCCTTATTTAACCAGAAAATCCAGTGCCTTTGGCTCATAGGAAATAGAATTTTTTCCCCATTTCCCATTCCCTTTATGGTCTCACTAGAAAAGGGGTTCTTATTCCAGGAAGTCCATGAACTTGGATGGGAAAAAATTATTTCAGTATGATTGGTTTCCTTCGTAATATTATGTATTTTATTTTAAGTATTTAAAAACAGTATCCTGAGATGGAATCCATAGACTTTATTAGACTGCCCAAGGAACTCATGATCCAAGAGAAGGTTGAGAACTTGTTCAGTCATTTTCAGTGACGTCTGACTCTTTGTGACCCCATTTGGGGTTTTCTTGGCAAAGATACTGGAGTAGTTTGCCATTTCCTTCTCTCTCATTTTACAGATAGGGAAACTGAGGCAAACAGGGTTAAGTGACTTGCCAAGGGTCACACAGTTAGTAAGTGTCTGAGAGTGAATTTGAACTCATGTCTTCCTGACTCCAGGTCTGGTGCTCCATTCACAGCGACATGTAGCGGCCCCTTGTTCTAGGCTTAGTCTTTTCTTCTCTGGACAATTGGGTAGACTCACTATGTTATACTAGTATAAAATAATAGGATATTTAAAAAGGACAAAATGAAATACAGAAATTAACTATAGATAGGGTGCCTAATGAATGTATATATATATATTATATATAATACATATATATTTATGAGAGGAGGGAGGGAAAGAGAAAGAGAGAAGGGGAGGAAGAGGAAGAAAGAAGGAAGGAGGAAGAGAGATAGGGAGAGAGAGACTGAGTGCAAGAGCATTGTATAGTGGACAGAGAGTTTCCTCTGAACCAAGAGTACCTGGGTTCAAGTCCTGTGATACATTCTGATTGGGCAGTGTTCTGAGCAACATTCTGAAACTATAAGTTACAGAGAAGGTGCCACTCTTCATTCATTCACAGAGAGAGTTTTCTACACTAATGAAATCACAGGTACAGTCCCTATGTGTGTGTACATTATATGTATGTATGTATGTATGCACACACACATATACAAGGCACATACACATACATATTACACATGTGTGTGTGCATGTGTTCATATATCCATATATAAATCTCTCTTCCAGTGCTTAGCCCATTCCCTGGCACATAGTAGGCCCTTCATAAATGTTTATTGATTAATTGATTTCTATATGCTAATTGTAGAGTTGGATAGACATATACATAAGCAGATTCTGGAACCAGATGTTGTTATATGCCAGGTCACAGGAGAAAGAACAAATATGCCCCATTTCAAACAAAGGTTCCCTGATCACTTCTTGACCAGGCATGGGTGTGTCCATGGTCTAAGTACTGTGTCTTAACTCTCCCATATATGTTATTGATCAACACACAGACTTTAGCAGCTACTACAAAAGATCTCTGATTTTGTAGGTGTGGGGCCTCCCTCTGTTGAAGGAGATCCTAGCACCTCCATGTCTTCACAAAAAGTTCTTCCTAAGTTGCTATGGTCAGAGAAAGTCATTGCCTGTCAGCCAACTGGTAATGAGTCTACTGCAGCCTAGATGCATTGGTCCTCTGATAATGGGCGTACAATCCATCGCAGGGCCTGGGCTCCAAACCTTTCCAGCTTGGTAAAATCTGCTCTTTAGTGATACACTTTTCAAGAACTCAGGGTCAGATATTGTCAAAAAACCTGACAAATGAAAGAAAAGGTGAGAAAACAGGGAAGGATGGAACATAAATAATCAACAAGCCCCTTTACAGCCCAAGAATAATAAGAAGATAAAGCTGGAGTTTCACACAAGTTTGGAAGGGTAAAACTTTGACCCTTCCTGGGAGATGAAGCTATGCTTCCAGTTCTTTGGGAATTCTGTATTTTAGATTGGAACTTGTAAATCTCATCCTACAATCTGGATTAACCAGTTTTAAAACACTTTAAACTAGCTTCTTTGACTTGCGGCTTTTCAAATGATAACATGAAGATAGCAGTGGTAATGGTTGTAATATGTAATTATCTTATTATCTTAATTTCAATTCAAGAACAGAGCCAATAGAGAAAATAGCTCATCTTCTGCTCAAGGGGAGGGAGGGTGGCTGAGAGATACTGGAGCTAGGGGCGTGCACAGCATCAGCAGAGAACCAAGGGCTAAAAGTGCCTTTCAGGGTTATCTGATCCTTTCCCTTTCTTCAGGCAGAACCACAACATTATAGATCATCATAGAAATAACTGCCATTTATGGCACATTTTAAGGTTTGTACTTAACATGTATTCACCTTATGTTTGTACAAGCGCTTAGCATAGTGCCTGGCACATATGACGCACTTTATAAATGTCGTTTGAACTGAATCGAATTGAACTAATCTCATTTTTGACCTAGTGGCAGTCAGGGTCCATACCAATAATTTTTTAAAAAAATTTATTTTATTTTTAATTTATGGAATAAAACAAGCATTTCCATAACATAACATTCCATAACATACCATAACTTATACCACAGCATAATAAAAAAGATGATTGCACATGAAACTACAAATCCATCATGTTTGAAGAAAGTTCTTTGATCCATCATAATTTTGATTTGGCAGGCTTGGAAAGGTGAGACTTGGGTTTGAATCCTGTCTCTGATGCCAACTAGCTTCTGAATTATCCAGAAGTCATTTAACCCCTCTGAGCCTCAGTTTCCTCATCTTAAAAATGGGGACCCAACTCACAGGACTGTAGTGAAACTCTTTGCAAACTTTAATGCACTAGGTAAATGAACATCTATTATTCTTACTGGGCTCACAAATCTCCACTTTATTTGCCACAAGTAAGGGGTACCTGCCACAGGTATTGCCTCGATAATCATCAAAGGTTTTTATTTTACAGCCGGCACCTGGGGTGAAAAAGAAATAATAATAATTGTTAAAGCCCAATTAGGGTCCTAAATTCATAGAATCATGTTGTTCTTCCCCTTCGTTCTTGAAGAGGACCGATGAACATGATGAGGGTGATGTCTTGACTTGGTGTGACCTGGATTTAAGTGAGGCAGAGCAGTGCAAAGTGCTCAGCCTCGCTGTCTCCTCCAGAGTCATCCAAGTCATGTGTTTAGGGTTGGAAGGGATCTTGGAAGCCTATCTTTTTACACATGAGGCACCAGAGACATGGGAAGGTTAAGAGCGTTGCTCAGGGTCATGTGGACAGTATGCACCACATGGAAGACTTGACCCCAGGTCTTCCTGACTGGGAGGCTGGATCTAAGAAGAAGGTATTTTGAGATGGTAAATAAAGAGACATGTCAATGATGAGAAGCATTGTGGTAGAGTGGATAAAGAGCCAGGCTCCCGATCAGGAAGACCTAGGGTCCAGTCCCCTCTCTGACACATACTGGTTATATGAGCCTGGACAAGGGACTATCTCTTGGTGTCCCAGGCAACAGTCCAAGGCTGAGTTGCAGACAAGGCTGTGCATTGGTGGAGGGATTTTTCTCATTGAGGGTTCCATGTATCAATAAAATTACAGGTCCGGTTAAAAAACAAAAACAAAAACAAACAAACCCCCAAAACAAAAAACAAAACTGCACAAAATATCCTCCAATAAAACCGAAACATCATCAATAAAACAGTGAAATCTCTTAGTAAAAATAACAAAAATAATTCCTACCCATCACTTTTTATTTTAAAAAAATGCTCCCACATTTGTCAGCAGAGAAAATACCAGAAAAGGAATAGAGAGGCTTGGTTTTTAAGACCTAGTTGTACCCCTAACTGGGCAGCTAGGTGGCACAGTGGATAGAGCACTGGCCCTGGGGTCAGAAAGACTCATCTTAGAGAGTTCAAATCTGACCTCAGATGCTTACTAGCTGTGTGACCCTGGGCAAGTCACTTAACCTCTATTTGCCTCAGTTTCCTCAATTGTACAATGGGGCTGATAATAACACTTACCTTCCAGGGTTGTTGAAAAAAATCAAGTGAAATCATATCTGTAAAAAGCACTTAGCATTCAGTAAGCATCAAATAAATGCCTATTCCCTTATCAACTATAGAATGAGGGTATTATATCAGATAAGCTATAAATTTCCTTCCAGCTGAGACATACCGTGATTCTCATTTTATCCTAAGGCAAGGCTGTAAATTGGTTCAGGCAGATACTATACATGTGAGAAAACAGGCACAGAGAATGAAATGCCATGCTAAGGGTCTGAGCCAATTCACCCATGGGCCCTCAGCCCATCCAATAATAGTGAAGGCAACAGTGATACTATTTGTATTGCTTCACTGAAAACAGAATGGTAGAAAGAAAGGAGAGAAGCTGCTGAGAGAGAGACACACACAGAGAGAGAGAGAGAGAGAGAGAGAGAGAGAGAGAGAGAGAGAGAGAGAGAGAGAGAGAGAGAGAGAGAGAGAGAGAGAAAGAGAGAGAGAGAGAGAGAGGGAGAGAGAGCGTAGGAGAGCAGGAAAGAATCCCTTGCTCTCTATTTAGTATTTAAAAATAGAAAGGAAAAGAGCCTAGTTTGAATTTGAGATAATGCTGGGCTGCTTTGTGAATGCTCTTACAGTGTATCTCCTTCCAAACAAATTGGGCCAAGGGTACAAAGCTCTCTTTCTTGTGTGCTCACAAACCTGTTTTTAATGGCTCGTGTGGCACTGGTTTGGCCCCTGAGCAGTAATGAACCACTCTACAAGTCACCACATGCAAGGCAGACATGAATCTCCCAGGGAAGAAAATGCTCTAACATGAATTGGTTTTAATCCAAGGTAAGTAAACTACTACTATGTGCTTTTTGGGTAGAAATACCATGGGTAAAAATGTCTCATCAATTTACGTTTGCTGGCCTGGGGAAACTTTGGTTGCAGAAACAGGTTGGCTTGCATCAGAAAGGAGAACCCCATGTAAGCTTACTCACTTGCTCATGAGTGCACCTTACATGGTGCCCTGGCTTCATTCAGGCAAGACAAAGCAGTGATTGATGGATGGCATGGGAACCTGGCTGCTGCCTCAGATGCATATCCCAAAAGCTTGGAGAGAAGGTGATGTCTTGAAGTCTGTTTGATCCTATCTTTGAGATCTTGGGTGGGGGAAGGGGTGTGGAAATCTAAAGGACTCTTGTACAATTCTCCCTTTGACTCTTATTTAACTAGAGAGTGAGCTTGTATATACCAATTAGTGTTGGAGGTGCTAGCCAGTCTTACTGAACTAGACTCATTTTTAAGCATGCAATTCCCAGGGTTGCACATATTCAAGAGGCAACATGATACAGTACAAATATTAACCTTCCCATGCCTCAGTTTCCTCTTCTGTATAATGAGGGGGGCTAGATAGCTTCTCAGGTACTTTCCAGCTTTAGGTCTAAGATCCTATGACTCTATGACCTGGGTCCGAATCCCACCTGTCATGCTTATTCCTTATGTGACCTTGGGTAAGTCCTTTTAATCCCGTAGGGACTCATCTTCCCTTGAGGTCACTTTCATATCTAGATCTATCATCTATTTCCTGAATGGAATGGAAGCTTTGCACAGTGCCCCCCAAAAGCCTAATTGATGCTAGCAGTATGAAGGAAGAAGTAGAGCATTAGGAACACAGCTAGATTTTGAATCACAGGACCTGGGTGTTGATCCAACCCTGTCACTTACTTCTGTGACCTTGGGCAAGTTACTTGCTTTCTCTGGGTCTCAGTTTTCTAATCTGGAAAAATGAGGGGGGTTGGATTAGAATCTAATCTTCTAATCATTAGATGATCTCCAAGGTTCATTTTTTACAGCTCTAAATCTATGATTCTTTGAGTATTAAAATAGCTTCTTGGTGAATATATGTGTGCACTTGTACATGCAGCCAGAATGTACATTTTGAAGATATAGGACCACTTCGAGCAGCCTCAGCTGCCAAGGCCACAAAGCTTTCAGGATGCTCACAGTGCAAGGATGTAACTGCTTTGTGCACAATGCTGATGGTAACTACTAAGATAGGATTGCTTGCATCTAATGGAATGCAAAACTGTTTTCAGAAAAGGGTTTGTTTGAGCAATATTGCAACAGATTTAATTAAGCTTACTTAAAGAAATGTTGAGGCTCAACAAAAGAAAACTAGAAATCACAGTCATATTTTGGTGCCCACACTTATGGACCATTGTCAGTAGGGTTTAACTACCTTCCCTTCTCATCCCTCCACTACTGAAATGCAGCTATTTGGGGTCTTTGGCCACTTTTTTGTTATTAAGACCTTTGACCAATTGTGGGTGGCTTTCAGAAAAAGCCTCACTTTTGAAGGCCCTGCAGGTCTTAAAAATTCTGGTCTCTACCCACACTTCCACCCACTGTCTCAAAGGTATCCCTGGGTGTGACTTAGTAGTACCATGCCCAAGATCATGTCAGAAATGCATTCCATAACTCATTCCCTTCCTCTTACATAAAGGAACCTCAATCTAGTGACTACTATTTCACAAAAGCCCTGTTCCTAGCCACATTTCTATGGAAATAGATACATAGATCATAGCCAGAAGGTCACTGTGTGGACTTCTGTTCACTTCAGAAAATGCTTGTTAAACTGTACTGTGTACAATAAAATGTGTTAGATTCATGGGTCAAACCTGGGGCTTTGTTGGGTCATGATAAGAAGCAAAGTCTAGTTCTGTGAGTCTTTTGCAGAAAATGATTGAACCTATATATGTTCATCAAGGAAGGGTACCATAATTGAGCTCCATTGAGTTCCCCTGGGGAAGCAGATCTAGTAGAAGGAGGAATAGTAGATTCAAGGTGTCTGAGGCAACCTCTAGACCATATGGTCTGAAAGATACCATTTGGTGCCCTGGGCAAGGAATCAGTAATGAGTTCAGGATAGGACACTTGGGCAACAAATACTATCAAGATTCTGATGGTACCCTTTTGCATCATGCACTCATAGTAACCTTTACTTGTCTTTCCTGGGCTCTCAATAAGATACTACTGATTATAGGAGCAATATGAAGGGTTCATGGGAGCTTACATTTAGAACTAGAAGGGACTTAGGCAGCACAGTAGATGGAATATTGGGCCTGGAGTCAGGAAGACCTGAATTCAAATCAGATACTAGCTGTGTGACCTGGGGCAAGTCACCTCTATTTACCTCAGTTTCCTCAACTGTAAAATAAGGATAACAGAAGCACCTACCTTGCAGGGTTGATGTGAGAATAAAATGAGATAATATTTGTAAAAAGGACTTAGCACAGTGCCTGGCACATAGTCGGTTCTTTATAAATGCTTATGGCTTTCCCCTTCCCTTCATCTCTGACCAACCCCCTCATTTCATAAATGAGGGAATTAGAACCTTGCTCCCAGTCACCGAGGTGGTGAGTAGAAGACCTTGGATTTGGACGTATGTCCTCTGACCCTAAATTCCATATCACAACGTTAGATAGAGTGTGTCCTTATCAGAAGTTGTAATTGGATTGTTAAAAAAAAGCAAAACAAAACTGGGTTCTCTGCAGCTTCTTTGGTAAGCAAAAATACCTTAAAGGCGGGGTTCTTAACTTGGAGTCCATGGATTAAAAAAATTCCATCTTTATTTTCACTAACCTCTAATTGAAATTAAGCATTTTCTTCAATTGTTTGAAACCATTATTCTGAGGAATTCATAGGTTTCACCAGATGGCCACAAAAAGCCTTAAGAGCCTCTGCCCTAGAGTATCACATTGAAAAAGCTTCTTGGCATACGTTTGTAGAACTTCTCCATCTGAAGTTGTCCTCTCAGAAGCTTCCTAATCTTTTACTCCATCATTTTATGGGAATGAGGTATGTGTGTGTGTGTGTGTGTGTGTGTGTGTGTGTATGTGTGTGTGTGTGTAAGAGAGAGAGACACACAGAGAGACAGAGACAGAGAGACAGAGACAGAGAGTTACCTAGGGTTTAGGAACAAAAAAAACCTTTTATCATTTTGGTTAAGAAAAATGACTGTCTCTTTACAGCCTGCCACACAAATGCATCTGTAGCTAAATAGTCTATGTTGTGAGCAGTTAAAGAGACAGGAAACAAAGAATTTAAAACTTGATGAATACTGGAGGGAGAGGTTAAGATTCAGTTATTGAAATTCCCTGTGCCTCTGCTCGAGCTTTGACATCTCATCATGCTCTGTCATGCTGGGGCAACAGAGTACTGTGCTTGCTTTCAAGGAGAAATATGAGGAGTTGTGGGTTATCCAGTGGCACCAGACAAGGATCTGATTGCTTTCTGGATTCTTCTGGCTCTCCCAAGTGTCTTAGGAGACAGAATATTGACCAAGCACTGGATTAGTCCAGAAGGCAGTGGAAAACTTTTGGGTGGCCTGCCAGGTAAATTACATGTATGTGTTTTTCCAAGACAGTGGTGGAGGTAGCCATGAGCTGCCCCCTATGCAAACACTGCTTGCCAGGTGCTTAATGAATGCTTGTTGATTGGCTAATTGATTTCTAGGAGCAACAGATCTCCAAGCAGCTGTTAGGGGTTGGAACAAAGTATGTATGGGAAGAATCATGACAACTCTAGGATGAAAATGCATGTAGTAAGAGGAGAGAGTAAAGCTCCATGAGAGCATGGACTGATTCCTGCCTTGTCTTTGCGTCCCCATTCCCAAGCGCAGTGATCAGCTCATAGTAGGCTCTTAATGAATGCTTGCTGAATCTAATTGAATCAAATGGCTTAACCTAGCTTAGCCGATAGAACTCATTTGACATAAGCAGACATATCCAACTCCAGTAGAGGGAGCTGGTATATGTGTGTACATGGAAATCACCAGGTTTGTGTAAAGTTATACTCCTCTATTGATTTTCTTTCTTTGTTGGTTCTCTTCAATTCCACATGTTCCACTTGGTAGTTCACTTCCACCCCTGTTTTGACCTCTACCCACTTCCCCAAAATGTTTAGAAGCCCATTCCCCCCTCTCCCCAGTAGTACTGTGTAGTAACTCTGTGTGTGTGTGTGTGTGTGTGTGTGTGTGTGTGTTGTGTATGTGTGTGAGCTCGTGCTGATTTTACATTATTGACATTTCATTGGCTTTCTCCCCATTAACACCTGAAGCCTTTTCAAATCGATGACTTACAAAGTAAAATGGATTCCTTTCAGCAAATATTTGCTCCACAGAGGCAGTCTTACACTATTGAGGGCCAGGCAAAGCCCCTTTTAAACCTGGTGTCAAGAAGACAGGGATATATTGATTTGCTGCTCAAGATTTGCTCAATCATCAAACCTGTTTTAGGGAGAAGAGGCTCTTCTCTGCTCTGACTTAGAGAGGTGTGTTCAGGGCTGCTAACCAACTCCAGGCTAATTGTATTCTTTTGTTTTCTCTTCCCCTGAATAATGAATGAAGATCAAGGTTTGCTTTATACTTAGATCTGAATACAAACCAACTGGAATGTGAGCTAAATATTAAGACCAAGGAAGCCTTTTTGCCCAACAAAATACTGCTTTTAGAGTAAAAGACAAAACACAGAGAATATTCTACTATTCCCACCCTGAACCCCAAGCAAATCCCAAGTCAGATGACAGTCTCCAAAATCTCTTCAGGGATTTTGAGTCAGAATACTAGGTGCCATCTGGAAGCCCTTAATGTGGTAGGGTCTTTAATGGTAGGGGCTAAGAACTATTTAAATCGTTTGCTTTCACTAGTATTGATTTCCCTGGCACTGACTCAATGTGAAGTCCCCTGGCATCTTTCTACACCTTCCAGCATCTGGCCTTCAGCACTAAATGGTTTTAGAGAACAAAAATGATGATATTGGACTGTGAGAAGGCTGAGTGGCACCTGAGGA